TGAGGCGGGGGGTTAGGGTGCAGGAGTGGGTATGGACTCTGGGTTGGGGATGGGTTCAGGGTGTGGGAGGAGGCTCTGGGCTGGGGCAGGGGGTTGGGGTTTGGGGGGGGGTGAGGGCTCTGTCTGGGAGTGCAGTCTCTGGGGTGGGGCCAGGGATGAGGAGTTTGGGTTGCAGGAGGGGGCTCTGGATTGGGGGAGGGGGGCGGCTCAGGGCTGGGGCAGGGGGTTGGGGCTCGGATTGCTGTGCAGGCTTACCTCAGGCGGCTCCCGGTCAGTGGCACAGTGGGGCTAAAGCAGGCTTGCTTCCTGCCCTGGCACCGCGCTGTGCCTGGAAGCAGCCAGCAGCAGGTCCAGCTGCTAGGCAGGGGGGCAGGAGGTTCTGCATGCTGCTCTTGCCCACAGGGCCCCTCCCCCCCCCAGCTCCCATTGGCCCTGGTTCCCAGCCAATGGGAGTGCGGAGCTTGTACTCGGGGCAGGGGCAGCACGCGGAGCCCCGTGTTGCCCCTGCCTAGGAGCCGGACCTGCTGCTGGCTGCTTCCAGGGCACAGCGTGGAGACAGGACAGGTAGGGACTAGCCTGCCTTAGCACTGCCGACCAGACTTTTAACGGCCTGGTCGGCAGTGCTGACCAGAGCTGCTAGGGACCCTTTTCGACCGGGCGTTCCGGTTAAAAACCAGACACCTGGTAACCCTAGTAATCAGAGGTATACAATTTTACATACACATCTATAGATTTACAGTTGTTCTTTTAGATGTCCTTAGTTAAAGCATTTTTGCTTAGCCTGATCAATTTAGCTAAAGACTTTGTTACATTGCTTCTCTCCCCAAGGATGCTTCTCACTGAATTATCCAATACTCACTTTTCTGAAATTTCCTGTTACCTGATCCAGGGTCACGTCTCCTGACGTGGAGATATGACTCTGTTGAGATACTGAAAAAAGGGGGTTTCAGATAAGTGAGTTTCATACATTTGACATTGCAATTTAAGGATTGGGAGGTAGCTCTCCCAGGGATGAGAAACTGCCCATGCAGTGATCTAGTCCTGAAAGGTCTGGATGTTACCCTGATCTGCCTGTGAAGTTGTTGGTTATCAGCTGTATTATTTGAAGTACTGCTAATGGAGGAAAAACTGCCAGTCCTCCTTGCTTCCAATACTGGGTTTGCTACCATCAAAAGTGAATACATGGCAAATAAGTGGATACGGGATAGCCTGAGAGATTACTTCCTTGTGTGAGTGAGTGTTCAACATGGAGACCTGTCACTTAGTGGCTACTTTCTGTGAAGGAGTATAATCCCAGGTTTTGGTGGAGGTTCTTTGCTCTACAGCTCTGCACCTTTACCATTCTTCATTGTCTTGGTAAGCAAAATTAGTGGCAGATTATCTTTCCTGTTTGAATTATGGGTTTGACAAACTAGCGGAAAGGGTGTGACAGAGTCCTGAAATACTTCTGAGAGCTCACTTTTTATTTGCCCTACTTAGTCACCTTTTTTGTTTTCTTTTCCTATTCTATGTTCTTTTGTAACTCATTTGCTTCCAGCTGCTCAATTTGTCAGGACTGTTTAGATTTAAAATGGACGACGACGACAGTTATGGCATAAAGCCCCTCCCATAGAGCAAAGTGAGAGCTTTCTCTCTATAGCTTTGACCTTAAGAACTGCACTCTGAAATTAATACCGGGAAAGGAAGGAATTGGAGAGAGGCAATCCTGACAACTAACTTAGGCTGAAGAAAACCTCTCTTGTGGTATCCGACTGTTTTTATCTGTTTCCTCACACCTCTTACTGTCTTCATAAATAAAACAACACAAAATGTGTCAGACCAATAACTAGGCTACAGAGCTGGCTTTTATCATCTTTCACTGTCCACCAATGTATTCCATTGTGACACAAAACCTTGAAGTGGTTTAGTCTGCTCTCAAAGTAAGTGTAGTGATCTAACAGCATGTGTCTCAAGAAATATCTTTTAGAGAACTCCAATTATAGGCAAGTAATGTATCTATATACTGTTTATGCTGAGTGATGTGA